TTAAAAATTTTCTTAAGATATCTCGACACCCACCAAATCAAATTTGATGAATTTTTTTATTTGAATTCAACTGTTCCAAAGAATTTAAATAAAAAAAATTTCATCAAATTTGGTCGGGTGGTTGTCGAGATATTTTTTCGATCAAAGGCAGAAAAAATTTGACGTCTAAATTTTTAAAACTTTGATCGAAAATATCTCGACAACCACCCGACTAAATTTGATGAAATTTTTTTTATTTAAATTTCTTTGGTACAGTAGAATTCAAATAAAAAAAAATTTCATCAAATTTGATTTGGTGGGTGTCGAGGTACCTTAAGAAAATTTTTAATCGTTATTAGCTGCGGCAACGTTTTCTTGACTTTGATCGAAGGTATCTCGACACCCACACAATCGAATTCGATGAAAATTTTTTTATTTGAATTCTACAGTTCCGGAGAATTCAAATAAAAAATTTTCATCGAATTCGATTATGTGGGCATCGAATTACTTTCGATCAAAATTAAAAAAAAAACATGATTTACATATGGGTGTGGAAATACGTATCAAAAACGGGTGTGGAAAAATCATGACTCTATATATATTTATATATTGTAGGTTAATTTAAAAATATACACTATTGTTATATTTATATATAATGAAAAATGCTTTATTTATTTTTATTTTTTATGTTTTATTTTTTATGTTTTATTTTTTTATATTTTTAAAGAACATTTAGAGTTATGTGGATGACATCACTTCCGTATAATAAATTAGATCTTTTATTTTTATTTTGGAATTGAATTTTACACCAATTAGCGGTATATGTCTTTATATTATAAGTGTATAAAAATTGCTTTTTTTTAATCATTTTGCGAAGCAAAGTACTTTGTAATAAATGTTTTATATTTTTCTATGTCAATATTTTGAATTGAGAAATAACTATGATTGTTTTAACTGTTATTTTTTTATTACTCAGTTACTTAAAATTTTTTGTCACCAAGTGTTTTTAATAGGGATACTGTAGTTACTCTAATAGTTATAATGATTTTTACTTGCATCCAGAAAATGAACATGCAAATCTATGAAGGTGCTTAGTTGGCCAATATATTAAAAATTACATTGTCAAATATTATCCTATCGGAATAATTTTTAATGAACTTTTTAAATGTACTGATTCCCGATTGTTTGCATTTAGAAAAGGTTGCCTGTAACATTTAATACCAAATAAAGCTATCTAAAATAAATTCTGATAGATGAAATTTATTGAATTTATTGAATGTATTAAGAATATTACTAACAAAATTTTATTTGTCATCAACTTATTATAAAAATTAAAGGTTTACGTTATTGATCAATTATCAGTGAACAGTTATTTGACTGGTAATTTGACACATGACTGACCGAGGTCAAATGGTCATGAGAAATAGCCAATAATAACTTATCGATGGCTGACTGTAACTGACTGTACCCATCCAAAGCCTAGAGATACATAAGACAAGTATAAAGACAATCCCGTCTTTTTAGAATAGGAACCTCTCATTAATATCTATGCTTCACAAATTAAAGCTTCGTACATTCTTGTAGTTGCTTTCGTTCTGAACGTTAGCTTTCACGTTAGCTTTCATACAGTACATTATTAATATTGCTTCTCATATGTTTTTTTTTGCTTAAAAATTTTTTTATTAGGCTTTCTGTGTAACCGTGACAACCTTTTGGAGCCGGCTGTACAATTTGGAAACTACATTAAATATTAAAATGAGCAGAACATACCCTTAGGCAAAGAAAGAACACTGAAAATTTTTATTGTCGCTTAGCCAAACTAACCACAATATCAAGTACATTAATTGATGTTATGATTGAAATGAATTTTTTGGAACTGTCATTTCTTAAATTGCGATTTTTTTTAAAAAAATACAAATTTAAAGAAATTTATCATATTTTCTTGTGATGATCACAGTAATTTGCAAAGCACAATAAAGTTGATCATTGTTTTTGATTTTTTAAAGGATAAATTAACAAGCCATGCTAACCATGTGAATTGCTTCCTTAATGAAGAAAAAAACGTTCACCGGAATGATGATCGAAGCTTGGAAATTGGCGATTGGAAAGAAAATTATACAATTCCAGATATTGCAATAATGAAAGGTATTCGTAATGCACT